CATTTTAGGCATTGTTTGCAGACCATCTAAGTCAGTGAGGTCTGTGAATACTAGATGAGACTAGCAGTATTAGCCTACTCTGGTACTTTGCAATTTTGAGGAGTTTGTATATACCTGGTCTTATTTCTACTGTCCCCATTTCTTCCTATTTCCATTCTCTTCTCAAGTATCTTCACACAGAATTTTCTACTTCTTCTACTTGTGTGTTTGGTTCTATTATAGTGACATTAACCCCACCCTACACTAGCAGAGGATATATTCTATGTTGAATTCATCGTTTCAGTGATGAATTGGGGGAAAATGGCCATGTTATTTTGCCACTTCTCACTTCAAAAGGTGGAGTATGTTTCCTCAAGACTTGGATATATGATGGTTTTTAACTTGCTTACCAACAGAATGTGGAAGAAGTAATTTTTTATGAGCTCCAGCACCTCAGCCTCTAGACACTTCTGTTCTCATCCTACTGAAACACATTAGCGTACTTGTGCATGCAAAGATGCCTGGCCTACTGAATGATGAGAAACCCCACAGAGCAATCCTTCATCACCTTGCCGGGGCCCCAGATATGGAACTAAGACCTTCTTAGATATTCTGACCCAGCTGATCCACCCAATATCTTCATGTGAAAATACCAAGTGATATCAAGAGAACAGCCCAGCAGCCCAAATATCTGGCTCACTGAATCATGAACAAATCAGCTGCCTGTTGCTTTAAATTTTATGATTTGTTAGACAATATATATAAATGGAAAGCTGCCACCACAAGAGGAAAGTAGTGAAAGTAGAAAATGTAGAAATTGCTGGAAATATGGCCTGAAAAAAATTGGAAAACATAGGTTGTTTTCTCTACTTCAGCACTCACTTATCCCAAAATTTTGGTTTTATCAATACAGAAGATCATTCTCAATATAGAATCGCAATCATAATGAAACCATAAATATAACCAACCTGTGAAGTTTATTACACACCCACCCACCCCCACACACACACATATACACACATATTCAAATATATAATATTAGGCACTTGTTTAAAACTTCAGTCTTTGTCTATCATCTATGTATATCTATCTATCTATCTATCTATCTATCATCTATCTATCCATCCATCTATCTACCTACCTATAAATCATCTATCTCTATTATCTATCTATCTCAAATTACCTTCTCAGTCTTTCTATATACTAGGGTCATTTATTCCCACACTGAGCCTTTGTCTGCACATAGACTGCAAACTTATGTAAATATTGTCTTTTTTTTCTTTTTCTTTTTTTTTTTTTTTTGAGTTGGAGTCTCACTCTGTCGCCCAGACTGGAGTGCAGTGGCCACTTCCCAGCCACCGCAGCCTCGACCTGCTGGGCTCTGGCGATCCTTCTGCCTCAGCCTTCTAAGTAGCCAGAATTACAGGCATGCGCTAACACACCCGGCTAATTTTTTGATTTATTGTAGAGATGAGGTCTCGCTGCCCAGGCGGGTCTCAAACCCGCGGGCTCAGGCAATCTACTCACCTCAACCTCCCAAAGGCGCGGGATTACAGGCTGAGCCACCGAGCCCGGTAGCATTTTCTTAAGTAAATCAAAGTAAATCTACCTCCCCTCTCCTTCTTACCCTCCAAAAATAATCATGTATAATGATGATATATATATTATGATAGCCCCACTTTATTTTATATTATTTGTTACTTTATTCTTGTTTCTTTCCATGTAGAAAAAGTGCCTGAGAAACACAAAAAAATGGTGTACCACATAGCACAGTAACTATGTCATTGTTCATTGTAGATTAAATTCCTCTGCACATGCGCACACACACACGCGCATACACACACACACACACACACACACACACACACACACTAGCAAGGAATGGATCGAGACGGGAAAGGAATCTGTTCAGGGTGTGTTGCTCCAGGGATGTGCAACCCTCTGTTTTCTCAAAATATTCCATCTCCCTCATATTCTATTAATGATTGGAAGTTCTGCTTGAAGACCAGAATCCTTTCCCTGAATGATTTTTTTGCTCCCACCTCACCTCAGCACACTCATTGGCATATTGGTTCACTCCATCCAGTCTCCCCTTTCGAGCAGCCAGGTCCACTTGGAACTCTTCGAATTTCTTGTGCAGAACTTCTGTGCACTCCCAGTCCTCACCCAGCTCCACCAATGTCACTATAGCCTCCTGTAGACACAGAAAAGTTTATTGAGTTGCCAGCAAACATTTAGAAGTACCTGCAGGTCAAAAGCCCAAAATCCCTGCTTGCATTCCCAGTGTAACTCAGATGGAAATACTGGGGCACGCTGGGAAAACCACTCCTGGGAAAAGCCAGAAGCAGGAGGGTATTTCGTGAGATCTAATCTTGGCCAGGGGAACGTGCTCTTCTAGTAATCCCTCGATGAGAGAGGCATTGTTGGTCCCAAACTCCTGCAAGTACACTTTTGTGTTTCAGACATGAGGGATAAATTCATTCTGTTTCTACTCACTTCAAGATACTGATTATCTACCAAAGCACTGCATTAGGGACTTGCTTATTTAAATCTTCAGTCATAACTATAGAATTAGTCTTTAAGTATTAAGAAAAATAACACTCCCATAGTTATAGGCACTAAGACACAGGAGAGTAGATGAAGAACTGGCAACACTCTCAGTGAGGCCTCAGAGAAGGAGCAAAATATAAAAAGGAGGAGTTGAAGATCATGAAAGTGGAAGGGGGATGAGCCTTGATTGTTTTCCAATGTACAAACTTTGCATAAGTCTTGACTTTTCTATATTCAGATCCATATATTTAAATACCCCCTAGAGTGCTAATTCCAGAATATCCCAACATATTTGCCCCGATTGCCTCTTCAAAGAACAAAGGCCAGGAACACACACTCTGACTTCTTCGTGAGTAATCTGCAGTAAGTTACTGTGGGGTACCTGGAACAGAGGTGGGGAAGGTTCTGTGTGCTTGCTGTTAAGCCTATACCTTGTCTCCGACCCACTCTAGGATGTCAGCACACTCCTGCAAGAACTGCTGGAGCTTCAGGGTCCGCAGCAGCAGGACTCCTTTCTCCTGGGTCAGCTCCAGTAGCAGGTCCCACAGATGGCGCAGTTCTTCCAGATGGGCCTTTGGGGAAGAGAGGCAGAACCACTCAGGCACAGAGGCTGTGGAGCAGGAACAGACCCAAAGACTTGTGCAGAAAGGGACCTGGATAAAAAAATGTTCCTTCCAATTCACACATGCATTGATTGATCAACATAAAGGAGGAAATAGGATATTTATGGAAATAGCTATTAAACCAAGTCAAATATGATCTTTCATAAGAGAAAATTTTGAAAAAATGCTTTGTGGTTTTCAAAGAGGAAATAGTTACAAACAATAAGATGGAAAAGAGGAAGAATGTATGGAGGAGAGCTCATTTGAACTGAGCCTTAAGAAACAGAAAGATATTTGACAGGAAGAGAACAGGCAGAGCATGTTCTAAGCACAGCAAACAGTAATGACAAGGGCATGGAAGAAACTTAGCTTGAACTGTCTGCCAGAAGGAATAAGAGTTGCCCCTCCTGGCCAAGATGTCTGACATGGAGGATGATTTCATGTGCAATGATGAGGAAGACTGCGACCTGGAATATGCTGAAGATAGTAACTCTGAGCCAAGTGTGGATTTGAAAAATCAGTACTATAACCCCAAAGCATTAAAAGATAACCCCAAAGTAGCAGTAAGCAGTTTCCAAAAGCTTTTGGAACTTGAGGGTGAAGAAGGAGAATGGGGATTTAAAGCACTGAAACAAACGATTAAGATTAACCTCAAGTAGACAAACTTTCCAGAAATGATGAATAGATATAAACTACTGCTGAATTATATTCAGAGTGCAATCACAAGAAATTATTTGGAAATATCTATCTATTAATTCTATTCTTGATTACATCTCCACTCCTAAACAGATGGATTTACTGCAGGAATTCTATGAAACTACACCGGAAGCTTTGAAAGACGCTAAGAATGACAGACTGGCTTAAGATAAACACAAAGCTTGGAAAATTATATTTAGGACGAGAGGAATATGGAAAGCTTCAAAAAATTTTACGTCAGTTACATTAGTCCTACCAGACTGATGATGGAGAAGATGACCTGAAAAAAGGTACACAGTTATTAGAAATATATGATTTGGAAATTCAAATGTACATGGCACAGAAGAATAACAAAAAGCTTAAAGCACTCTATGAACAGTCACTTCACATTAAGTCTGCAATCCCTCATCCACTGATCATGGACATTACCAGAGAATGTGGTGGTAAAATGTACTTGAGGGAAGGTGAATTTGAAAGGACACACACTGATTTTTTTGAAGCCTTCAAGAATTGCAATGAATCAGGAAGTCCAAGATGAACCACTTGCTTAAAATAATTGGTCTTAGCAAATACACTAATGAAAACGGGAATAAATCCATTTGATTAACAGGAGGCCAAGCCGTACAAAAGTGATCCAGAAATTTTAGCAATGATGAATTTAAAAAGTGCTTGTCAGAATAATGGTATCTCTGAATTTGAAAAGATTCAAATCACGGCAACATCATGGATGATCCCAGTGAACAAAATAAATAAAAGACTGACAAGCATGGAAAGCAGAATTAACCAAGCAGAAGAAAGTATCTCAGAGCTTGAAGACCAAAATATGGAACTAACCCAAATGGTTAAAAACATAGAAAGGAAGCTTAGAAAGACAGAACAAAGCCTCCAAGAGATATTAAGAAGCTGAACTTATACCTGATCGGCATTCTTGAGGCAGAGAGGGAGACGAGAACATCTTGGAACAAACGTTCCATTAGGTTATCCAAGAAAACTTCCCTTATCTCATCAGCGATACAACCATCCAAATACAAGACATTCAGAGAACCCCTGAAAGACATCAAATGAGAAGACCAACTCTCAGACATACAGTAATTTGTTTACACAAAGTAGGTATAAAAGAAAAAATCCTAAAGGCAGTGGGGTTTGTATGAAAATGCTGCACACAGGCCCGCCGGCGCCCCCATCCTGAGCCGATTGTCTGCAATGGTGAAATGAAGTAACTCAAGATGAGTGAGTTAAAGGTGATATCAGAGAAAAGCCTTACTAATGATTCTGGGGTTGTGGGACTCCTGGATCAGCTAGAGAAGATCAATACTGAATCTGCAGAATCAGATAGTGTCAGATATGTTACATCAAAAATTCTTCATCTGGCTCAAAGTCAAGAAAAGACAAGGAGGGAAATGACAGCCAAAGTTTCTACAGGAATGGAAGTTCTGCTGTTAACATTAGAGAACACGAAAGATCTCCTAACTACACTTAATATCTTTAGCATTCTTGTTGAACTGGTGTCAGCTGGTGAAGGTCGAAGAGCAAGTTTTTCTTTTTTTTTTTGAGTTGGAGTCTCACTCTGTCGCCCAGACTGGAGTGCAGTGGCCGCTCCTCAGCCTTGTGAGTAGCTGGAATTACAGGCATGTGCTACACGACTGGCTGATTTTTTTTTTTTTTTAATTTATTGTAGAGATGAGGTCTCACTGCCCAGGCAGGTCTCGAACCCACAGGCTCAGGCAATCCACTCACCTCAGCCTCCCAAAGGCGCGGGATTACAGGCTGAGCCACTGAGTCCAGCTGAAGAGCAAGTTTCTTAGTCACCAAAGGTGGTTCACAAATGTTAGTAAAATTACTTGTGAATGCCAGCAAAGAATCTCCCTCACATGAGGAGTTAATGGTACGGATTCATTTTATTCTTGCAAAGATTGGACCAAAAGATAAAAAATTTGGAGTGAAGGCTAGAATTAATGGAGCTCTGAATATAACCCTGAATTTGGTCAAACAGAATTTGCAGAATCATCGCTTGGTTCTGCCTTGTCTTCAGCTTTTAAGAGTATATTCTGCCAACTCTGTGAATTCAGTATCTTTAGGGAAAAATGGAGTTGTGGAACTTATGTTTAAAATCATTGGACCATTTAGTAAGAAGAATTCCAGTCTTATGAAGCTTGCTTTAGACACTCTTGCTGCATTGCTAAAATCTAAAACAAATGCCAGGAGAGCTGTAGACAGAGGATATGTCCAAGTACTTTTAACAATTTATGTAGATTGGCACCGCCATGATAATTGGCATAGAAACATGCTCATTTGGAAAGGAATTTTACAGAGTTTAAAAAGTGTTACAAACATTAAATTGGGAAGAAAGGCGTTTATTGATGCCAATGGGATGAAAATTCTGTATAACACTCTGCAAGAATGTTTGGCAGTCAGGACTCTTGATCCTCTTGTCAATACTTCTAGTCTGATCATGAGGAAGTGTTTCCCAAAAAATCATCTGCCACTTCCAACAATTAAAAGTTCTTTTCATTTCCAGTTGCCTGTCATTCCTGTCACTGGCCCTGTGGCTCAGCTGTACAGCTTACCCAGTGAAGTGGATGATATAGTAGATGAAAGTGATGACAACGATGACATTGATCTAGAAGTCGAAAATGAAACTGAGAATGAAGATGACCTAGATCAAAATTTTAAGAATGATGATATTGAAACAGATATTAACAAGCTGAAACCCAAGCAAGAACCAGGACGAACAACAGAAAAACTAAAAATGACTATGATTTAATCTCCATAGAACCAAAGCCGTTTGTATTTGAGGGAAAAGTACGTGGTCCCATTGTTGTTCCTACAGCAGGAGAAGTATCTGGGAGTTCTGGCAGTTTAAGAAAAGGAGTTGTAATGAAGGAAAATGTATCTCCTGAAGGAGATGAAGGTGATAAGAAACCTGCCTGTGTGGATCTAGCAAAAGAAGATATTAAAGATAATGATAGAACATTACAACAGAAGCTAGGTGATCAAAGCAGAACTATTTCATCAGGCCATGGCTTAAATGATGATATCGTGAAGGCCTTGGACCGAATTACACTGCAGAATATTCCTTCTCAAACAGCCCCAGGTCTTCCTGCAGAAATGAAGGATTACAGTCTTCCTCTTACTGTCCTTACATGTACTAAAGCATGTCCACATGTGGCTACTTGTGGAAATGCTCTGTTTGAGGGAAGAACAGTTCAGCTAGGGAAACTTTGCTGTACTGGAGTTGAAACCAAAGATGAAGATACTGAGTCTAGTTCATCAGTGGAACAAGCATCAGTTGAGGTACCTGATGGACCAACACTCCATGACCCAGACCTCTATATTGAGATTGTGAAAAATACAAAGTCTGTCCCTGAATATTCAGAGGTGGCTTATCCTGATTATTTTGGTCATATTCCACCTCCATTCAAAGAGCCTATTCTAGAAAGGCCTTAGGGTATACAAAGGACAAAAATTGCCCAAGACAATGAGAGACTGATACACCAAAGTGATATCATAGAGTGGTATATGATTTAGATAACCCAAATTACACCATTCTGGAAGAAGGAGATGCTCTGAAGTTTAACTCCAAATTTGAATCTGGGAATCTGTGCAAAGTAATTCAAATTAGAAAAAATGAATATGATCTTATTCTGAACTCAGATGTAAACAGTAATCATTATCATCAGTGGTTTTACTTTGAAGTCAGTGGAATGCAGCCAAGGGTTGCTTACAGGTTTAACATCATTAACTGTGAAAAGTCCAACAGTCAGTTTAATTATGGTCTGCAACCACTCATGTATTCCATTCAGGAAGCATTAAATGCCAGACCATGGTGGATTCGTGTGGGGACTGACATTTGTTATATAAAAATCATTTCTCAAGAAGTTCAGTTGCTACAGGTGGGCAAAAGGGAAAATCCTACCATTCAATCACATTCACTGTCAGTTTTCCACATAAAGATGATGTTTGCTACTTTGCATATACGTATTCAACTTTACAGATGCATCTTCAAAAATTGGAATCTGCACACAATCCCCAGCAAATCTATTTTTGAAAAGATGTGTTATGTGCAACCGTGTCTGGGAACAGCTGTCCATTGGTGACTACAACAGCAATGCCGGAGTCTAATTATTATGAACATATCTGTCAATTCAGAAATCGCCCTTACGTTTTCTTATCTGCTCGGGTACATCCTGGAGAAACTAATGCAAGTTGGGTTATGAAAGGAACATTGGAGTATCTCATGAGTAATAACCCTACTGCCCAGAGCTTACGAGAATCCTTTATTTCTAAAATTATCCCTATGCTAAATCCAGATGGTGTCATCAATAGAAATCACCTCTGTTCTTTAAGTGGAGAAGATTTGAACAGACAATGGCAAAGTCCAAATCCAGATTTACATCCTACGATTTACCATGCTAAAGGGCTCCTACAGTTCCTGGCTGCAGTGAAACGTTTACCCTTGGTTTATTGTGATTATCATGGCCATTCCTGAAAGGAGAATGTATTTATCTATGACTGCAGCATCAAAGAGACAGTGTGGCATACCAATGATACCAACGCAACTTCATGTGATGTTGTGGAAGATATGGGATACAGGACTTTGCCTAAGATACTGAGTCATATTGTCCCAGCATTTTGCATGAGCAGCTGTAGCTTTGTAGTGGAAAAAAAATCTAAGGAATCCACAGCACGTGTTGTAGTTTGGCGGGAAATAGGAGTACAGAGAAGCTACACCATGGAGAGGACTTTGTGTGGCTGTGATCAGGGAAAATACAAGGGTTTACAGATTGGTACTCGGGAATTGGAAGAGATGGGAGCAAAATTTTGTGTTGGTCTTTTGCGTTTGAAAAGATTGACATTCCCATTGGATTATAATCTGCCTTCCAGCCTACTTGACTTTGAAAGTGAGTTAACTGACCCCCTC